TCCGTCCATCTATTGTCGAATAAAAGAAAGAAAAAAAAAAAGCAATTAAATATAATAAAAAAGGAAGCAAGACAAACCAAAAAAAAACTAACGACAGAATCTATTCACTTTTGACCAGTGACTGTTGAAGCAGATCTATAATTAGTAAAAAGGTCAGGCGTTTAGTCTGGCGAGACGAAAAATCTGACGGCAATTGCTGCCACTGTGGCTGTCATTAATAATAATAGTCGTAATTCATAGTGACAGTTTTAGAAAAGATTGTTTCTTTTACGTTCACCTTTCTCTATTTGTTGTTGTCACACTCAGCAGTTATAACGTTGTTCTGCGTACATCTGTCAGCTAACATGAGAAGATATCTTTTGAATCGGTGTTCATACATACAGAGAGCTTTTGTAAATAAATGCAACGGATTCAGTTTTTAACAAATACTTATGGCGCATGATTGCAAGGAGACTTACAAATATTAAACGGATGGCAAGATCGATTTTTAAATTCATTGTAAATAAAAAAAATCCTTCTCAGGTTAGCCAAACTTTTATGGATCAAATAGTAAATCATTCTTCTCACCTTGCTTGTCAACCAGTCTAGGAGAAGGACTGATTTCTTAACTACGGCTTAAGTAGAGAGAAATCACTCCACTATCTTTCCAACGAACAACCGTTGCAACGCATATTTTACAGACATTAAAAGATAAGAAAGCTGTGGAGAGCAATAATCATCTAGTAGCGTACTTTGTTTACATTTCGAGTACCAAATCGAAATTAGCAAATATAGACTTCGAAATGCCCCAACTAGAAATGTGCATTTTTTAAAATGAGGTAATTGAGCCTAGTGTTGCTGTAATGACGTCTCGTAGCTTAATGGCGAAGCACACTTAGCTAGAAAGCCCCCACCCCCAAAAAAAAAATTCCTGTTAAAATCCGGTATTGAATTCATGCTACTTGGATTCTATCACTGGATCTAACAAACGCCTTTATCCACTGTGCCATGTGTCCTTTAGGACATCTGTGTATGATTTTCTGAGAATTATAAACCTAATGTGTTCAGTAACCTTTTTTTTACCAGAGCTCATATTGCAATTTTCGTTGTTATTATTGCTTTTCTCTGGCACTCCTTATTACTGGTTCTCATATTGTATTCATTTCTATGCTTGGTCGGCTCAGGAGATTTTTTTGACCTAGGATATGTGCTGATTTCTTAAGTTTACGAATTTTCCAATGATGTTATTTGTCTATGATTTCAACCTGATCCCATAGAGGGCGGTGATCACCATTTTCTCTCCATATGGAGGGGGAAGGGAGATCACTGCCGGGGCGTACAACGGCCGAAACGTTGTGATAAATATGGCAACAAAGATGAGGATGAGAGTCCGCAAAATGTAAATAGTGTACATAATACCTCACCTCAGAAATATAGATACTCAAAGTGTTAATGTATATAAAGTCTAAATGATTTTAAGAATCTGTTCAACAGAAATATGAATTTTAGGTAGATGGTTGCTACCTTGAATCCAGTTGTTGCAGGCAAGTCCTCCTTATATTAATTTATTAAACGTAGCTTAGAGGTAGCACAAAGCCAAAAGGATGGATCACCCAGTGAGGTCTTCATTACATACTATCATAATGAGTGTAAGTCCATCTCTTCGTTAGTTAACACGCCCTGACAACACCTCATAAATAATGGACTATTCCGCGTTTTAATCGCGTGGAAAGAGGGGAAACGTTATTACTTGGTTTCAGTGAAAAAATGAAAGAAAGCAGTGGGGAGAGAATCAGATTAAGTTTATAAGAACAGATAGTACGCATCGATCCAGCCAAAACACCGAGAAGTAATGGCGACGGCGATAAACGCGGCATTTTTCAGATGCAAAGTATCAAACGACGAAGCCTAGTAGGACAATCGCCAAAAAAATCTAATTACCATAAATTAAATTAAATAACATCGTCTGCTGAATTATTTTCAAATCATTATTAAGAGAAATGTTTGTAAGACGGAGATTTAGCTAGAAAGAAATAAGGGAAGATAAAAAAATGTTTAACGTCTCCGGCCAAATGGACTATTCCGTTTTGATCACGTCGAAAGAGGGAAAAAGATACTACAGGGAGTCATCGACTTACGTCAGAGATCCCTTCCTACGCCGCGACGTAACCTGCATAAGCAGTTTACTCTTGAGAGCCATAATTTAATAAGTTCAAAAAGTCCCCCCACCCCCAAAAAAGTTCCCACCCAAAACGACACAAAGCAGAGATAGCGAATGTACTACGATCCAAAATGGCGTACAGCTGTTGAAGAAAGAACACTGTCTTCCTAATATAGCGCCACATTACAACGTATTATATTATGGGAGATGGCGCCATAAGCAAGAAACGCCGTACGTCGGGTCCGACGTAACCCGAAGTCTTTCTGTGCTTGATTTCAGTAAGAACATGAAATAAAGAAATAAAAAATGCAGATAGAAGTGTTTAACGTCTGTTTCAGTGAAATGGAAAAAATTGTCAGTTTTCAAATCTTTTCATTTCTACCTACTTCTACGGATATTCTATTGCCGCAGAATTCGCCTTGAGCTTATTCAATCATTAACTTTAAAGTTAAGAATTAAGTTTCATCTAAAAAATTTAAATAGGAAAACCGTGGAATTATTACGGGTCTTTCTAGTACAAGATTAATGGAGAGCAATTTTCAAACTCCTTTTAGTTCATGCCATTTCGTTTTGTACTGTACCAAGATGTGTCTATTAAATATCATGACCCGAATGTTTTACACGCTAGCCATAATATTATGAGTGGGTGATCGATACAAACCTTTCGATTGATATAGTCTCGAGAGTTAAGATTTTAAATAAAGAATAGTGAAAATGTCAGTGGTTACTAAGTTTGGATCGTAGGCAGGGGACGCGGTAAGGGTCAATGTATTTGGCATTAAACGCATATTAGAAAATTATATGATTTTTAGACTTTCATTTATTATTGGCACTCGATTTTTTTCAGAAACTGGTTTTTAATCAATACTCTTGCGTCATGAATATATAACCGTTCGCTCATCTATAACATTTGCTATTGGTTTAATTTCCTATCCATCGATACCAATCAATCAATCGAATATATTATATGCAACAGTCAGAAGCTTAATTAAGTAAAAAGAGATACAATAGGATATAATAGTATGCAAACGAATCAGTGTTTCCTCAAACATAAAAATAAGAATAAAACCAATTACGTACAATTAAAACTATGTCTTTTATTGCCTAAGCAAAACTAATTATAAAGAATATAAAACTATGAAAGTGTGAATTTAGATTGGTTGGTTGTTTTTGTTTCGTCGCCTACCAACCTCCGTTGGTTATTTAATGACGAAATCAAAATATTTTGTAAGGAATTTTATTTTATTTTGTTTTATGGGGATATAATAATGGTTTTAGTGATGCAAGTCTTACTTATTAACTAAGAGCGGGCGGAGAAGAGTGAATATAACAAACCCAAATTGAATTGGAACTCAACTCTCGGATTAACAATTCCGAGTCCTTATCCATTACACCACCTGCACATCCAAGCTTACAGCTGCTGGTATTCCCACATGGTCACCCATCTAGGTACATTACTAGGCTCGACGTTGGGAACTAGTGTTTCAACGCGATATGGCCGTAAACCCCTACAAGTGTTGAGGTTTATTTTGTGATATGATATTATAGTATCCAAACGCATTCGAGTCTTCTCAAACAGGAAAATAAGAATAGGTATGAAACTAATTAGATACAATTAAAACAATATATTGTATTGCCTAAGCAAAACAAATTGAAAAGAATATAAAAGTGTTGGCTGAAGGTGTGTATGTATAGATGTACTCATCGAAGATATGCATTTATGAAGTTCCTATTTAATAGATAAAACTTTATATAGTTAAGCATGTTTAGAGCATTTCAGCCCACACCGCAAATTTCTAAAAGAAATTGAAAAAAACCCTGAAAACTTGAGTTATATTCTTAAATTGATCGAGATT